AAATTCTTTGAGATATTCAAGTTGCGTAAGTTAAAAAATATCAAGATCATACATAAATAAAAAGCGAATATATTTACACGTACGGCTCTTACTTCACTTACTGTCAAAAATTTCCTAGAAATAATAAATTGACGTACAATATATCGCGCAAATGGGTGAAAATTCTTGCCTACCCACCTTGCCATAAAATATCGTCTGCAAATAAATTAGTTTTGAATATAAAAGAGTTTACCTCTACCCGCATGCAATTGTTTTCGTCCTGAATCTTAGACGAAGGTTACTAAAGAGGAATAATTTGTTTGTTTGTCTTGGCCTCGTCAACTGCACTTCAGCTGTAAAGGTGTGCCAAAATTTACGAACTTTCCTATGCTAGCAGTAGAAAACAAATCAACATTTGAGTAAAAAATGATTCTCAGTAGGTTTAGTATTTTAGGCAGTGGTAGTGGAGGCTTCAACTGACAATAATTGATGAATTCCACAACCATCATAGCCGAATCTTAGGCAGTAGATACTGATAGTAATTCTAAGGAAATATTTCTCTTTTTTGGTCTGTACTTTTAGCTATTCTAAAATTCTAATCGGCACAGTTTTCTAAAGCAATATAAAAGAATCTGTAGCTGTTTAGGCGTCACTTTTGGGGACCATTTTTTAGTTTCTTTGCTTGTTATCCTTAATTGCATAGCAAATGTATGTTCGATTTCTTTTCTATTTTCTTTGGCTATATATATATATATATATATGACATTTGGCATGGTGTTACGATTTTCCATGCTAGAAATATCTTCCGCGAGGATGCTTCATAATCTACTATCCAGAATATTAAATCTGCGTAGAGTTTGAGATTTTTTCATGACCGCTATCATAGCACATCTGGTCCGGTTATCGAGCTTATCGAACTTATAAGAACATACGGTCCTACGATGCTTCCATCTATTTGCTAAATTTATTACACGCCGCCGGTAGCACAGATAGATTGCAAAAGAAATACTGCAAAAACTGAATTCATTGCGCGAATTCAAATAGTAGCGATAGGCTTATGTTGAGAATTTTTTAGTTTTTATTTTCTAAAAATAATAAAAAGTACATGCTAAAAAAGAAGCACACACACGCACACATACAAAAGCGAATGGTTTGAATGCAAAGGAATTTTAACACATATACATACATAGGTACGTATAGACAATGCTTGATAAAAATTGTTGCTCCGCCGCGTAACGGAAAGCAATATAAAAATTCTAACTAATTAAAGGAAGTATTTTTATATTTGCAACAACAACAATAACAAAAATTCTATGTATACTTACAGTCGTATGAATGATTTTCAATTTCTACCCAAGTTATTTTCTTCTCCGCTTTCGAGAATTTATTACAAAAACAAACAACTCTTTAAATTGTCTTCCGGGGGGGGCGCGGGGGCCCCGGCCCGCTTGTTTTTTTTTGTTTTTTGTTTTTTCTGCAAATACATAGAAACGTGGAGAGATGTATAATCGTTTTCACGGATATGTATGTGATTTATAGTTACCGTTAAGTATTTTGTTCCGTTTTAAAATGCAAAAAGGAAAACATAGCACCAGCATACATTAGGCGTGCACTACTGCACATAATTCATTTTATTAATAGCATAACACTTGCTTATTTTATGTGTGTGGTTGTCGTTGTTACTTGATTATAAGTCTGCAAAATATCAGATAGTGGTATTTCGCAATATTCTGCTTACAGGCATTCGATAAACTTGAATTCGTGACATCACATATCAATGGTCTATCGGCCCATTATTAATATAACGCATGCATGCATGCCTGCATTTTGATCATCTTTTCACTCGAAGAAAATTGTGCACAAAATATATATTATCAAAATATTTAACCTCATTTTCTACAACTTTTTCCGATTTCGGGTCGATATTTTCACAACATTTTCTGCAACATTTCGAAACTGCGTGCCAGCCAAGCTGTGTTACATCGATCTGAACAAGTGGTAATCAGAGGGCGCTTTGTCTGGGGAGTACACTGCATGTGGCAGAACTTCCCATTTGAGCTGCAACAGTGTATGCTTGAGAACTCGTGCAACTTATGGTGATGCAAGAGGAAGACTTAGAGCCTGTTAATTCCTACTCCTGGTCTTTTTTGCAACAATACATCGTTCAATTTGTTCTGTCTCGTTCGGTTGTACACTGCACCTGGCTGATCCCACCATACGTACAGAAAAATTTCGTGGCCATGAATATTCCGCTTCGGTGTCGCTGGAATGGTCCTCATGAACTTCTATGTTTGGAATTGCCATAATGGGTCCACTTTTTATCGCCAGCCACAATATTTATCATTTTCACCAATACTTATGTATATGTATATCGTAAGCTGCCGTTTTACGTAGTTACCTTACTCCTTTTGCGATTAGGTTTGTACCACTAAAGTGTGATATTTAAGATAGCATAGGCTTTATTTACAATTTCTACTACGATCGATTTACAAATTATTTGCAGGAATTTATATTTACAACGTTTTAATGCTCCTTCTGATCTAGTCCATTTAAATATTACAATTCCAATCTTGCATGTTACATCCATGAGGTCAAACTTTTCCTGCATCAAAATTTTAGCGGCTTGCTTCTTATATCAGAGTTGCATTTCACAAATTGTGCTTATATAAAACTCAGTGGACAAGATTTAATAACTGCCACTGATTGATCCCAATTGTGTCAGTTGTCCAGCCATCCTGTACGGGATGCTCATCGTATAGAAAGTATCTGACTAAGGAAAACAATCCTACGTGTATATCTATACCGAGGAAAATTTTATACTGATCATCAACATCAATAGACTTACGCCGTCTACTGTAACGGGCAATCCATATACCGACGTACTAACAATAGAATTCCCCCCGCAACCTTCTACAACGATTATGGTAGAAGATTTTCGGAAACATGATGTTCTCTTTATGCAACCCAAAAGACTGTCTTTACAGCTAGAATTGATCAAGTTTTCGAAAGAATACACAAATTAAGCAAACAATGAACGCAAAGCAAAATTTATGAGTTGAACTTTCTAACATTATTTGTGGGTTCACGTCGTGAAATAATTTTCTTAAATGCTCCAAGCAACAGGGTAGACATGGACTATACTCAATTATTTCGATTTTTCAGAATATATATGATTGCTTGACTGATGTATTGCAAGTAGCCAATCACTTTGAAGGTTTCATTCTGGGCGGGTGATTAAGTCTTTCAACGTTCTCAGGTCATTCCATTGTAAAACGTCAAATTACAACGCATTCATCCGACTTAATTTTGTACAGCGTTTATATGTTTACTTCGTATAGAAAGACTGACTGAGACCACTTTCGCCTAGTTTTGATATGTTATACACATTATTAGTTATTAGTTGTGCTTCGATTTGTTTCAGATTACCTTTCGTACCACAATTTTAATGTGCAAATGAACGATCCTTCTTCTTCGCTTGGCATTCTAAAAAGCAGCATTCCCCAAGGCAGCGTTTTTTATTTAGTGTCTTTGTCCATGGGTTTCCTCGCGTCAAAGACGATATAAAGGCTTTTTTGTACATGGATGACTTCTTAATATATTTCTGCCATCAATCTCTATCCCAGAAGTTACGTAACGCGGCTCCCTGTTTTAATAATGTAGACAGCTTTTATAGGACTTGGGGTACAAAAGTAAACGCTGCTAAATCAGACGCGGTATATATACGGAAAGCAACTGTCTAATGAGCAAAATATCTTATTCTGCAAAACAAAAATACGCAAATACAACATTGACGAAGTCTCGTTTAAACCCAACATTAAATATGTGGTAATCCGCCTGAGTGGCCGAGTAGACAAGAGTCTCGACTAGCAACTCAATGGTAGTGGGTTCAAATCTCAAGTGCGGTAGAGTGTTTAATAAAGCCGAAAGCCTTAGAAGCTAGTGCTTTAAGACTTTAGTCTTAGAATTTATTCTCTGGCTAAATTTCTAATAATAATAATAAAATAAATATGTAGTAGCAAATTTTAACAACATATTGAAGCTTAATAATCATGGCGGAATACTATTGACTCAAGCTAAAAAAATTGCCGAGATGTTCTTCGGTATATTGAAAAGCGGAAATTTTTGTCAAAAGGCAAAATTGTCTGCATTCAAAGTCGTAATCAGATCGGTTTTGGCGTACGCATTTTCAATCTGCTTTCGTATTTCTCCAAGGAATTGCAAATATTTGAAGATCTTAAGGAAATGCATAGGTAGAAAGTTTAACAACTACCTTAAGCAGATCTGTCAGCTGTAATATCAACTATAAAACCGCTTTGCACATATGTTGCGTCTCTCTTGAAAAATTTTATGGCAAAACTGATTTTGCACGATTAAAATCTGATTATCGAAATATATGAAACCGGGAAAAATGAAGGTTGATTCGTCACCACTTAATAATGTTATCCATGAAAAAAAATATTTCGAAAAAAGGCGATAGTTTCTTGCGATTTTATCCAATATAAGACAATTTATGCTAAGTTGACAACATTCGCATTTATATTATGTGGTGGATACATTTCACCAGAAGTATTACTTAGGTACTACTTCTTGGACTGGCAACTCTGACTTTCAAAGGGAAATAATCGCAAACTCTCTCTTTCTCTTACTTGGCAACATCATGGTGTTGCAGGCATTGTTATTGTAAAATTTTGCTCGCTCGGAGAGATAAAGACTTGGCAGCATCAAAGTACTGCTGGCATTGTTTTTGTAAAATTTTGTTTCAGTCGTGTTTGAAAAGGAGAGAAAAAATAGAGAGAAACTTGAGTACAAATCTAAACATTTGCTAGATTTTTTTGTTCATAAACCACAAAATTTTTACTCTCAAAAACGACTTGTGTATCAACAGAGGCTTCAAAAAACTTAAGTACATTTTACTCTGAGAAATTGAAATTCATTCTCTGCGTTGTTGCGGAGCATCCATAAGAAATGTACAGCAAAGACAGCAAAGTAAATTTTATTCTGAGAATTCAAATTTTATTTCAATTTTTTCTCTTTTGGATGTAAGACGTGTGGACTTCTTATCGCGGGAGCTTGTGCAAATGTTATACGTAAATATATATAGTACTGAGAAGAAAACTATACAAAATAATTACTTTTACATACGATTAATTAATTAAAATGTATTTAATGTTAAACTTAGGATGGCTTAAACGTTTATTTTTCAATACGGCTTACTAACGGTTTTATCTAGACGTCTTGCTTGTTGCTTACAAATTTTTGAATTTATTTCTACGCTGTTTGCGTTGAATAAATGAAATGAATATAAGTGAGAAACACAGACGATAGAGTTAAATAAGAATTATATGCAAATTCCTTTTACTGCATCAAGAAGAAAAGAAATACTAAGAAAAAAAGAAGTAGCTAATATGAAAATGAAGTAAAAAAAGTTAAAAATATAGCGAAGTTTTGTGAGCGCGTGTGGTTAAATGAACAACGATACCATTTTCTGTGAGTTGAGTTGTTTTCTTCTCAACTGCCTCCTTTTGAATCCAGTAAGAGCGTTTGAGTGTTATATTTATGGCATGTTTTTTTATTGTACACCAAATTAAAGTAAATTAGCTGGAAGGAAGCGTTAAATTTTAATTTTCAAAAATAAAAAGTGTAATTTTACGAATAACTGTCGTTATACATTTACAACGTTCACCTTTCTAATTTAAATAAGAAAAGAATAAAGAAAGAAAATTTTGTTAAGAGTAGAGCACACACGCGCACATACGATTTAAAACGTACTTAGCAAAAGAAAAAGCAAAAAAGAAAAAAAAAAAAAACGAATCATCCAACACTCGAAATATAGAGAGTAGAGTAGAGAAGATGGAAAATGTAGAAGAAACGAGAGAAAACTCTGGTTCAGAAAATATATGAACTTATTTTATATAAAACGCAAAGGAAAATTGATAAAAACCAGTTACAAATTAAAGCTGAAAGTGAAAATCGTTTTGGTTCGTGTTGGACAAAAAAAAAGAAAAAGAAAGAAAACATAAATTTTGCAGAAATTCGTGAAAAAAAAATTCTTATTGTAAATTGTACTATAACTCCGAGTGTGTTTAGGCTAAAGAAAACCATTTGCGGCGTTTGTTTTGCTGGCGTGTTGAATGTAACGAAACGTAACGACAAACTTGGCGCATTCCCTATTCTCTGTATATTTCCCTTATTTAACGACCTTAACGAGTTTTGTATTAGAGTTTATTTTGATAATATATGTATACATGTGTGCATATGTATGGGCAAATACATGAGATTGTGTATGCTGATGATTAACTCTCTGTTGCCATTTCATTTGCTCTTTGTGCCTAATCAGAAAACTTAAACACGCACACACATAGATATCGCAAAATAACTCCATTCTCTACTTTATTTGTACAATCAACAAGAAACAGAACAAGCAAGCAAATGAAATGGCAAACGAAAAAAATCATTTCCTCTCCATATAATTGCTGTTGTTGTTATTGCCGTGACTATCAAAACATCAGTCGCATTTGTGCGAGCGAGCTATTGGCGAATGAACAAAGAACAAGAAATTTTGTGAAACTCTCTGCTTAAACTGTTAAATTGTTCAAAATTTAAAATTTAATAAAGTAAAAAAAAAAAAAAAAAAAATTTGCTTGTTAGGTCTTTTTATGGAAATTTTTTATTTATACTAAAAAAATTGAAATATTTTCTCTGCTATAAATTATTCATTGTTCAGAGGTGCGCGTGTGTGTTTGTGTTAAGTCTGAAAGGAATTCTTCGATAAGCAAGTAAAGAAAACTTATAAATTCAATATGTTCGCGGACGGTATCTTTCCGATTGGAGATGGTATGCTGGACATAGAGGAGGAAAATTTAAAAGGACTTTTGGTACTTCATGATATCAATGAAATTTATGATGTGGAGCAAACTCCATTTGCCAGGTAAGTTGGCCAAACTTCTCTCCGAGTGCACATTTTATTTATGTGTAGGCATAAGCGGTTGTGTGTAAACGTACACATGTAAAAATTCATATATGTACAAAATGTGTCCTACTTTTCATTAAAAACGACATACATACACAAGCATTGTTATACAACAAATGTTATAGGGTTTTTTTGTTCTTCTCTTGCACGACTTTTATTATTATAAGAAGCAATGAATTTTCTTATATATATATATATATATATATTTTTTTTGAGTTGTCATTGCTGCTGATAATGTTATTCTTTTATGTAAAGTATTAGAACAGAACTTTTAAATATTTGTGCATTAAAATGCGCGTATTATATTCTCTATCTAGTGTTGGCAGGTGCAAAATTTACATATAAATGTAATGTAATGTAGGAACAGCTGTCGTGGTCCTCTTTGTTCGCTTTATGCAAAAACTTATATTATGTTCTTAAGTAAACACATATATAATACATTTTTATTTTATTTTTATTTTTTGCATTAATGTTATTTCGGTCGAAAACGGGTGCCTCAAGGTAGCTTTTTAAATAGTAAGTCTACCTTAAGCCCGAGTTTAGCCAGAGGTGTTTAACTATCTTACAACTCCATTCCAGTCCATAATGATAGCCCTTCAAGTTAGCCTTTGAGTTTTAAATAAAATTTTTTTCATTGTCGCATGAAAAAAGTGGAAAGTTTCTAGAATCACTTAAACTTACATATATTTTAATAACGAAATTACTACCCTGTTAAATACCTTAATCTACTGAATTATATATCTAAGCAATTTTATCTAAGATAACTTTGAGAAGCAGATAAGTTGTAAAAAGATTAAGATTATAGATAAACTAAGAAAGTATCTTTAAGTCTCTATAATGATATTCTGGCTGATAATTTAACAAGTCTGTTATGGAGTGTATTGCGACGTCTTTTTGGGCCATCTTAATCATTTGTAGCGGTCTCTGTCAGCGCGATTGATGTCCTTCAGAGTGGACAATGCGTAGATCACGTTCGAGTTTTAGCTTTTGCTCACACTTTACTTTCCACACTTGCTTAACTTTACTTTCGCGCACATTCTTTCGTTTCGTTTTCTTGTAAGTCATTTTTCAAGATGATTATGATCTAATTGCTATATTTTGCATTGCTTTGCAATAAATATATATACACATCTGTGTATATTTTGCTGGGTATTTACAAATTATTAATTAAGAGGACGTAAGTGCATATTAATTTTTACACATTACACAATAGTTGCTATGGTTAACAACTTTGACTATGTATCGTGCGTGGTGCGATTTTATTTTTCACCTCTGTATACCAGCATTTCGTTGACCATAACAATAAACGCGAGTATCAATTTACATTAATTTCATAAATTTCTATTCGTTAAATATTCATAAAATGGGTAAATGGTTAAATATAAACACAGCCTTATGTCGCCTTTAATGACCAACTCCGCTTGCGAAATAAATGCAATTATGTCATTTCACAAGATCTATAGTACCCAAAATTGCGCACACTTTATAATCATCTACACAACTTGACACATTAGTGTGCTTTAATTCTTTTTGCTTTTTCGTCCGGGGGGCGTCTTCAGCGATTGTGAAATGCGAAATATGGGAAATCAACCTTCAGTGCATATCTCAAGCGAGAGTATATGGATGTGTCTGAAGACGCCTCGAGAATGTGTGGAAAAAAAATTATTATCTAAAAGAAATTTCTTCCGTCAAATTTCTAGCATTCTCCCGAAATGTTCCGAAAGGATTATCTGTGTGAAAACTAAAGGGGTTGCAAGCTAATGGAAGATAATAATAATATTTCAAAACTTTAAACAAATTTTTCTCGAAAGAAGAAGTGCTCGGACCTATTTACCCTAAGAATTACACACAAATCTGGCTATCACAAGACTTGGGGGCTAATCATTAGGCCTTTGTTCTCTCTTTCGAAATCTATTCTCAAGTTAGGAAAGGATGCTATAAATCGCAAACTGGATCAATGTGATTTTCATAAAAAAAGGTTTTTAAAAAGATTTTTTTAATAGGAAAACAAGCTCAAGACTTGAAGCATAAATTATCCCTTTCTTTTAATGCTGCTTTTAATGCTGCGGAATAATATTTAAAAGGGCTTATGGGTAGGGAATTCTTTATGTGACTCAGAAAGTAGGTTTTTTGAGTGAAGTCACCAGAACGTTTTAGGTAACATAGCGATTTGGGACGATTGATAATTTCGATATGCGGTTGATATATGTCTTTGCCAATTGCATTTCAGTGCTGAAAGCGTTAGGAAATTTTATAATGTAAGCATTGCAAATAAAAAGTAATTTGAATGGTTTGCTAAAACTCATCCACTCTCAACACTCTCATCGCTTTCATCATTGATTCCCGATTGACTTCAAAGTTCTCTCAACTACAGCGTCGTAATAATTTCCCCACGAATATGCGCTTATTCTCTTAAGTCCCACAATCCATGCAAAATTCTTGATAATTGTATACGCTTATTCTCTAAAGTCCCACAATACATGTAAAGAAATTTATTCAAACATTCTCAATTGTAAACAATTTTTATTTTCTCAATTGTATGGAATTTTTATACAAATTACTGAGAACATATACATATTAATCTCGCATCGATGGCTTTTTTATAAAGAGACCTGTTGAATGATTGAGAACGAATATGCGCTTATTCTCTTAAGTCCCACAATACATGCAAAATTCTTGATAATTGTATACGCTTATTCTCTAAAGTCCCACAATACATGTAAAGAACGACGAGATTGAGTTGAAAATCGAAACTCTTGCCACTCAGGCGGATAATTTGGTGGAAACATTGGCAGTTGCACGCTGGTTGATATTGAAAATGGAGTAAATTGGTCGAAGGACACGCCCACCGTATCACGTAAATTTAGAACATTTCCGTTTTTCAAAAGAATAAAAAATTGATTTTTTGCTCATTACATATAAATTGTAGCAGGTAAATGTACAAAAATTTGAAAGCATATTTAGTGGATGATGCTGTAGGACCTGTACAAAAATGGGAAAAGTTGACCACGCTCACGTAACATTGTAGTGTATCAAAATTTAATTTTTTTTTCAATACCTTTATAACGTGCAGAAAAAAGCTTCAAAAATCCTATAAAGTAAATAAATTCATGGGCAGTTTGAATTTTAAGATATCTCTAAACATGTCCGTTTGTTCACCTGTCCATCTGTCTATCTGTCCAACTATGTAGTATTTGCTCTGTGTAAACATTCTCCCGTTAACGAAAATGAAGATATCGCCTACAAATTTGCAAAAGATTTTGAAATTGACTTAAACATATCCAAGGACACGCTTACAACGTCCACAGGCCTAAGTGACAAAAACTTTTATTTTGAAATCAGAAAAAGGTCAGCCATGTGCTCCCCATATTATAGCGCATAAAAATTTAGTTCTTTTACTTTTTTTGTCTTTTTTAGAAGGGTTTGGGATTTGTTTATTCTAAATGATTTTATTGCCGACTTGTGATGAAATTGTTCTTGAAAGCCATAGATGTAGAGCAGATGTTCGAGACAGAAAAAAGCAGAAATGAAATGATTTTAACTAGAGAAATAAATAATTACCTTTTCCCACTTGGATAGCCGAAGGTTTAAACTCAATTCTATGGAGCAGAGCTTGACTTTAGACAACCGGCGCGGTTTTGACGTGTGCTCAGATGGGCTTATACGGCCTCTGCTATGTATTCTTCCATAAAACTTTGGCAAATCTAATACATTTCTTGTGGTGACACAAAAAAAAAAATTTTCATAAAAAAGTATTATACGAGAATGTCATATAAAATACAGGCGTTTTGTTCCCCGAAGTCTTCGCTGGTCCTAATATAAAAAAATCAAGTACGGAATAATAATACCGCAGGCGATTTCTTGCCCAATGGATGTTAGTTTTTCACGCAATAAGCGGCGAACAAATTTATCGTTGTTTGTCTCTGCTTTTCCTTTCAATGTTCGTAAAAAAACGAAAAAGGAGAAAAACAAGATCATCCGATATGATCAGGTGTCCATAATTGAAAAAGAGTTCATTATTGCTTAGAATAAGGTATTGCGCCCATGCATATAATTAGCTTAACCCTTATTTAATCTTACCAAGCACTCACTATTGCATTTTGAACTCAAATTTTTTAGTTATTTCATATTGCATTTCCGAGATATTCTTTCTTAACGTGCTTTAAGTTAACGATGAATTTTAAAAAATTTGAAGTTAGTTATGATATTAGCATTAAATCTTTTCACAAACTATATATGATTAAAATATATATCGGTATGGTTCACGTTCACATAGTTAGAAAGGAGATCGCTTACCATGAGAGTTGCGTCGAGGCACTCTGTTCACCATATCAGAACAGTAGTCACAGGACCGTATTTAATAGTGTCTTGACGGGCAACAGTTTTTAATCGCAAATAAATTACTTTTAAATCTTTTCAAGTTTCTCCCCATTTTATATAATCATCGAAATCATATATGGTCGGTCTGCCTATAATATTTGTATTTGCGGATATGTAAATGAATTTGAACTAGAAACGAAAACAAAAATGAAAAGAAAACTTAAGAATGGAGCCGAAGTCGATTAGGTGGCAGCAGACTTATTATTGTTAGGATATTTCACGTCTTCCGAGCTTTGTTACCGTGAGCAATTCCAAAATTGTCCATCCTTCAATGACGGGTCTTAAAAGGGACATTTTTTTCTAAATTCCGAGAAAATGTTTCCTGTCATAATGTTGCAACACACAAGAGAAAGCGTCAGAGACCCTATTTAAGTATATATTCTTGATTAGCATGAAATTCTGAATTAATTAAGTCATGTCTTCAAATTCGATAGAAACAGTGAAAGTTTTTGCACGCGGTCTGATATTGAAAATGGTCCAAATGGTCAGAACAAAAGCCCATACTGAAGCGTAGCATAGCTTCATGAAAATAGCCGAAGCGAGTGGCGCCAAGTATTGTAATGGTGGTGGGTATGCGA